CACCAAATCTAAATGCAATTGGGGCTTAATAATATATGACATGATATAACATTTTCTATAAATGTGCTAGCAAGATATAATGCTATTGTAACATAAACAGATCGAACGAAATAAAAACTTATACACTGAATACTGTTGGGTATGGCTCATACTTCACATGATGATGTTGGCCCTAATTGTCGGGGTCAGCAGAAAGGCAACTGGGGTTTGGGCTTGGGCCCATGAATAGCTGCTGTTAGGGTTTCTTGTAATCCTATTTATATTTGCCTTGTAAACCGAGAGACTTGTAACGAGTGGCGGTGAGGTGAATATAGTACAGACAAGCTGGACGTAGCCTATATTGGGTGAACCAGGGTAAATCATCGTGTCAATCTCTCTACTCTTATCTCTTTTTCTGTTTTCTCGATTCTGTGTGATTGTCGATTTCCAACAAATACATGATATTGTTGGAAATGCAACGAGGGAGCCCAAAACCCTTTGCAAAGGGTACATCCACCAATGGGCCAAATGACAAACCATAATAAGTGGGCCGACACCACATCTCAACCCAAAACCTTAAGGCTGTAGGTTTATGGGTCTTTTGCACTTATATGGTCATCACTTGGTCTATGTCTAGTCTATGTGATACTTCTTTACAATTCATACTTGATTATTTCCAACATCTTCCCTCAAGTGTGAGGCCCAATATCATTCTTACCCTAAGGGCAACTTCTGCGGAAGTCTCTTTTTTTTTCTCTTTCAAATATTAGGGTCACACTAGCCTTCTGCAGAGACCTTCCAAACACACTTGGCCCAGCCCAGATCATTGGCTTTGATACCACTGTTGGAAATGCAACGAGGGAGCCCAAAACCCTTTGCAAAGGGTACATCCACCAATGGGCCAAATGACAAATCATAATAAGTGGGCCGACACCACATCTCAACCCAAAACCTTAAGGCTGTAGGTTTATGGGTCTTTTGCACTTATATGGTCATCACTTGGTCTATGTCTAGTCTATGTGATACTTCTTTACAACTCATACTTGATTATTTCCAACATCTTCCCTCAAGTGTGAGGCCCAATATCATTCTTACCCTAAGGGCAACTTCTGCGGAAGTCTCTTTTTTTTTCTCTTTCAAATATTAGGGTCACACTAGCCTTCTGCAGAGGCCTTCCAAACACACTTGGCCCAGCCCAGATCATTGGCTTTGATACCACTGTTGGAAATGCAACGAGGGAGCCCAAAACCCTTTGCAAAGGGTACATCCACCAATGGGCCAAATGACAAACCATAATAAGTGGGCCGACACCACATCTCAACCCAAAACCTTAAGGCTGTAGGTTTATGGGTCTTTTGCACTTATATGGTCATCACTTGGTCTATGTCTAGTCTATGTGATACTTCTTTACAACTCATACTTGATTATTTCCAACATCTTCCCTCAAGTGTGAGGCCCAATATCATTCTTACCCTAAGGGCAACTACTGATAGAAAAATTAAGATGCAGAAATATAACTCACAATGTTTAAAGAGGGAATACAAATTTCATAAACTGACTCAAACTTAATATAAACCAGAAACTAAAACTGAAAAACATAACATTAAGAGACACATTACACCCAAATAAACTCTAACTTAATGACTCATTATACTACCCAAAACTGACCCATTATGATACCGTTAAGACTCATCAAACAACTTTAGTGCAGCACATGGCCGTTACATCAAACTTAAAAGACCATTGAATTTTCTAACGGACAAAAAACAAAGAGACTCTAACATTCCCTCCCTTAAACTGATGTTCTTGAAAAATTCAGTTTACTCCAAATCCTTTGACTTTCTCCATGGAACATATGCCAAGTAATCCCCTGAGCTTTTGAAACGCAACATATTTGAGAGGCTTTGTAAACAAATCAGCAACTTGATCCTCACTTCTACAAAAAATAAGATCAATTATACCAGCCTTTGTAAGATCCCTTAAGAAATGATACTTCACATCTATATGCTTGCTTCTCCCATGTAAAATTTGATTCTTTGACAATTTAATTGCAGAATTATTGTCACAATAAATTAAAGTTGCTCCTTCTTGCTTGAAGTGAAGTTCTTCAAGAATTCTCCTTAGCCAAATGGCTTGGCATGCACAAGCTGTAGCAGCAACAAATTCAGCTTCTGTGCTTGACAAAGTGACAATTGGTTGCTTCTTCGATGCCCAAGAAATAGCACCTGTACCAATCATAAAAACATAACCTGATGTGCTCTTCCTGTCATCTTGATCTCCTGCATAATCACTGTCAGTAAATCCCACTAAATCAGATTTTACACCCTTCTTGTAAAATATCCCGAAAGTTCTTGTTCCTTGCAAGTAGCGAAGGATTCTCTTGGCAGCCAACAAATGTATTTCTGTAGGATTTTCCATATACCTGCTAATTAAACTCACAGAATACATTATGTCTGGTCTTGTTGCAGTGAGATACATCAAACTTCCCACAATTTGTTTGTAGAAGGTGCTGTCAACCTTCTCTCCTCCATGATCTTTATGTAACTTCAAGCCACATTCAACTGGAGTGTGCACAGGATTACAATCCTTCATCTGAAACCTGTCTAGAATATCTTCCACATATTTATTTTGAGAAATAAAAATTCCATCACTTGATTGTGCTACACTTATGCCAAGAAAGTAATGCATCATACCAAGATCAGTCATTTCAAACTCATTCATCATAGACTTTTTAAATTCTTCAAACATAACATCACAATTTCCAGTGAATATAAGATCATCTACATATAAGCAAACAATAAGCATTTTTCCTTCATCACCAATCTTAACAAAGAGTGTATGTTCATAAGGACACTTTATAAAACCAGCCTTAAGAAAATAAGACTCAATGCGACTATACCAAGCTCGAGGGGCTTGTTTTAGTCCATAAAGTGCCTTTTTCAATTTGTAAACTTTATGCTCATTTCCAACTTTCTCATAACCAGGGGGTTGTTCAATAAATATTTGTTCCTCTAAGTACCCATGCAAGAATGCCGATTTGACATCTAGCTGGTAAATAGGCCAAGAATTTTGTGCAGCCAATGCAACCACCAACCTGATTGTATCATGTCTCACAACAGGAGAAAAAACTTCTGTATAATCAATCCCATATTGTTGCTTGTACCCCTTGACAACCAAGCGTGCTTTGTGCTTGTCAATTTCACCATTTTCCTTTAACTTTGTTTTAAACACCCACTTCACACCAATGATTTTGTGTCCATTTGGAAGATCAGTTAACTCCCAAGTATCATTCCTCTTAATTGCATCAATTTCAGCATCCATTGCTTTTCGCCATTTTTCTTCTTTGACAGCACTCTCAAAAGTCACGGGATCACATTCTGAAAACAAAGCAAAGTGAGTAATTGGATCTTCAATTCCAGTTACCTCATAATCTTCCATCCAAGTAGGCCTTCTTCTAACACGACGAAGAGATTGAGTTTCTTCTTCGTTAACTCCAACTACTGTTGGTGAGGATTGACTAGCTGAAGAAGTTGCAATGGACGAATTTTCAGGCATACTAGATGCTGAAATTTGCTCTTGTTCAGAATCAATATCACAAAGAACTTCGGTAGGCTGCTGCATATTCCAATCCCAAGTGTTTTCTTCGTCAAAAACAACATCCCTGCTAACCACAATTTTTTTCGTCAGTGGATTAAATAATTTATATGCTTTAGATGTATCACTTACACCTAGAAAGACACATTTTTCAGCCTTGTCATCAAGTTTTTTTCTTTTCTGTTCCGGGACATGAGCATATGCAATGCATCCAAAAATTCTAAAGTGATCCACATTTGGTTTTCTCCCACTCCAAGCCTCTTCTGGCGTCATATTTCGAACTGCAAAGGTTGGACTTCTGTTCAAGACATGAATGCACCAGTTTACTGCTTCTGGCCAAAACATCTTTGGAACTCTTCCTCTTACCAACAAGCTTCTAACCATATTGAGGATGGTTCTTTCTTCCTCTCTGATACACCATTTTGTTGTGGTGTATATGCAGTTGTAAGCTCTTTTCGGATGCCATGTTCTTCACAAAAAGCTTCAAATTCTTTTGAGCAATATTCACCACCACGATCTGTGCGAAGTGTCTGAATCATCCTTCCTGTCTCATTCTCCACACGAGCTTTGAAATTTTTAAATGTAGAGAAAGCTTCTGACTTTTCCTGTAAAAAATAAACCCACGTTTTTCTAGAAAAGTCATCAATGAAGGTAATTAAATATTTTTTACCTCCATTAGAAATTGGATTTATTGGACCACAAATGTCTGAATGCACCAATTGCAAAATTCCCTTTGCTCTCCATGAGTTCCCTTTTGCAAATTCAGAACGATGTTGTTTGCTAACAACATATTCTTCACATACTAAGGAATGAGAAATTGTGATTTGAGGGAGGCCTGTCACCATATTTTTTTGTTGGAGCGTCTTCAACCCACCAAAGTTCAAATGGCCATAGCGAAAATGCCACAACCATGAAGGATCTTTTATTTCAGCCATTAAACTAGATTGGATTCCTTCAATCTTTAATGGAAACAATCTGTTTGAACTCATCTGAATAACAGCAATAGCACCTCTAACAGAATCATATATTTCACAAACACCATTTTTAATAGTGATCACATAACCCTTTTCTTGTAATTGGCCAGCACTCAATAAATTACTTTTCAAATCAGGAACATACAATACATTAGATATTGTTTCCACAAAACCATTCTTGGTTTTTATTTTAATGTCACATTTTCCCATTACTTTCACAGTAGAATGATCACTAAAACTCACAGTAGATTGAAAATTTTCATTCAGATGAGAGAAAGAAGACTTACTACCACTCATGTGGTTGCTACAGCCAGTATCCACATACCAAACATCTGGCTCAATTTGCTTTTCATCTTTAGCAACCATCAATAAGGTTTCACCTTCCTCCTTTTCTGCAAAGTTTGAACTTTCTTCTTTTTCTTTGCTATTTGGCAGCTTAGTATAACATTCAGATTAATAATGACCAAATTTATGACACCTGAAACATTCTACCTTGGATTTATCAGGGGCTCCTCCTCTGCCTCTGCCTTGAAATTGATCATTATTGGCTCTGAAATTAGTGGACCTTCCTCTGCCTCTGCCTCTGTCTCTACCTCTGCCTCTACCTCTACCTCTACCCCTTCCTTGAAAATTGTTGGAACGAGTATCGGTAGAAGCCTTTAATGCTTGCTCATCTGTGTCTTCCTGTTTGAACTTTTGTTCATGCACCACCAATGAACTCTGCAATTCATCAAGTGACAAATCATCTATATCTTTAGATTCTTCTATAGCACAAACAACAAAGTTAAATTTTGCTGTTAATGATCGAAGAATTTTTTCTATGACAGTTATTTCTTCTATCCTGCCTCCATGAATTCGCATTTTATTGACAATGGTCATCACGCGAGAGAAATAATCTGCAATTGATTCTCCCGACTTCATTCGAAGTGTTTCGAATTCCGAGCGTAAAGCTTGAAGCTGCTGCCTCTTTGCTCTTGCAGAGCCTTGATACTTCTTTTTCATGGAGTCCCAAATATCCTTGGAAGTTTCTTTGGAAAGAATGGTTTCCAAGATAGAACGGTCAATGGGCTGGAAGAGATAATTCTTCGCCTTCAAATCCTTCAACTTTACTGCTTCATGAGCTGCTCGTTGTGCTGCTGTCAACTGAGCTCCTTCTGCTAGTGCTGGTTCAACAACACCATTGGTAACTACATCCCAATATTCCTTGGATCGAAGGAAATTCTCCATCAACATGCTCCAATGATCATAATGACCATCGAAACGTGGAATGGCTGCTTGCACAAAATTAGAATCTGTGGCCATGACTCTTCACTTTACTCTTTTTTTCACAACTCAATTCCCTCACGTGTTTAACTCTCAACCTGGCTCTTGATACCACTGATAGAAAAATTAAGATGCAGAAATATAACTCACAATGTTTGAAGAGGGAATACAAATTTCATAAACTGACTCAAACTTAATATAAACCAGAAACTAAAACTGAAAAACATAACATTAAGAGACACATTACACCCAAATAAACTCTAACTTAATAACTCATTATACTACCCAAAACTGACCCATTATGATACCGTTAAGACTCATCAAACAACTTTAGTGCAGCACATGGCCGTTACATCAAACTTAAAAGACCATTGAATTTTCTAACGGACAAAAAACAAAGAGACTCTAACAGATATGAGATTATTTTATGAAAAAAGTTAAAAGCTTATTTTAATTGGGTATGCAAATACTTGGTATGTATTAGACCCACATAATATTTATACACAAATGTTGATACTGCAATTTCCTGACAATCAAAGAAGTAAACCTTGACGACAAAATCTTTAAATCATGCAGAATCGATTGCATTATATTAAAAAGATCGAGAATGTGTATGGTTAGGATTAGTGGTTCAACGTACAGAAGAAACGTGTGATTTTTAAATCATTAAGGTAAAACCAATATTAACATATGAAGATAATGGTACATGTATTACTCAAATAAGGAAGGACACATCAAGGGAGATAAGACTATGCAAATTCCACCAAAGTTCTTTTCACATATGATCTTCAAAGAGATTGTGAGACATATGTCTATCAGATTCGCTCAAATACATATCCTGCAAATTCGTTCACAAAGTCGTTGCTGAAATCATTGTCTTGGCCTACTAAAACTTTTGAGTAGCTTTGTATACAAGATCAATTTATGTTATATGAGTAATATTTGTTGATGTCAAGCAAAGTAAATTATCTATGAATATTATACTTTTTTTTTCTTCACTAAGTTTTTATCCCATTGAGTTTTTCTTAGCAAGGCTTTTAATAACGGATATTCATAATATATACTCATCCAAGGGATTATTTTTAAAGTATAGTTTTAAAGGAATTATTTTTAATAAAAAAATTCATTAGTGTTCAATTAAAATTTTCAAGTAATTTAAAAAATTTATATGATATTCAATTAGGATAATTAAGACTTTTTTTATAAGATGTCTAAGTTAAGCAGTATTCAATCAAGATTTTAAGCAAGGAAAACAAATCCTTTGGCATTAAAAAATTTGATGATTTCAATTGATTTTTTTTATCAGTGTCAATTTTGTGTGACTTTTAAGTGGGAGGTATAAATACTATCTCTTTTTCACAATATATATCACCCAAGTCCTTGAGATTTTCTAAGGTTTTTCTATTTTCTTGTTTTCCAACCGATGTTATCCACTTCTCAAATGCAAGGCATGTTCTTGTGTGCTTTGGTTTTGATTTATTATCATTCTCCAACCATTAAGATTCTTTTCAAGTTCTGCAAATGCTTTTTTTTTTGTCCGAAAGAAATAGGCAACTTAAGTTTTTTTAATCTCGAGTCCACTTCTTTGTTAAATTTCCTGATTACCTGTGAAATTTTCGAATTTTTGAATCTTTAATTTTCAGTCTTACGTTTTATGTCATCTACAACATTGTAATGCAATTTATGATGAGTACTTATATATTATGGCATTTTTTACTTTTCATACTAATTGTATGTGTATTGTATATGGAATTCGGTAAATATTTTTTTATGGATTATGGATTTCCTAATCGGCGCCAATTTTTAGCTTCATTTCATGATGTGCGATATCATCTATACAAGATCTTATATGTTATACTAATGACCCTCAAAATGCAAATGAATTGTCCAATCTTCACCATGGATCCTTGAGAAATGTGATTAGGAGGATACTTGACATTTTTAATTTTTAGTTCACAATTTTTAAGTCATCGCCTCTATTTCCATTTAAAACACAATTAGAGTTTGTGTTATCATATGCAGCACTACATAACTTCTTTTATGAATGTCATTTTGATGAATTTTCAATTGAACCAATAGACGAATCTTCATCTTCAGTTTCACTAGTTAATGAAAATGTAATTTTGAACCAATTATTCAAATGCAAGAGTAGGAAGTAGAAATGCTAATGCGTAGTATAGCTATGGATATCTGGAGGAATAATACTTAGGAGGACATGAAGTTACATCAAATTGCAATAAAATTGAAAAAATTGTATTAGGTTTTACTTGTTTTAATAATATCGTTATATTTCTTTGTTATCTTTTTGTTGACTCTTGCAACTTTGAATGTTTCACGAAAATTATATGATTTTTTAAAATCTTATAAATCCATATTGTTCTTTAAAATCTTATAAAAACTGATAATAAATCCTTTAAAATTAAACCCTACGAAATCATGATTATAATGAAATATTCCAAAAAGACTTTAAAGTCATTACATTTCTAAATAATCTTTTAAAATTTCATTTCAATACAACCCAAAAATATTTGAGCTCATGAAGGTTATGCCACTTGTTATGACTTTATTAAAGTATGATTTTTTTAAAAAAATATATTTAAAAATTTATTCATCTCCTGCACAACAAAGAGGAAAGGAATTCTTAAGTATGATTTTATATATTTAATGATAGTGAAATTGTTTAATCAAAGAGAGAGAAATCATTATTTTAACTAAATTTAGATTTAATGTAGATTAAACTTTTTATTTAGTAAAATGATTAATTGGGATGGATAGAGATTGAATCGCTTTACTGGTTGATGAAATGTGTTTATTTTCCTCAAAGGGTATAATATGTGAATGTAATAGTGATCCTGTAAATCAGAGGTGTGGATCAAAGTAGGAGTGTTCGCAGTCTAGATTGGATCGATTATGTAGCAAAAATCATCTGATCAAATCGTTTCGATTTGATCATTTAATCATCCATTCGGGTTGGATTTAAAAAAAAAAAATCCAATCCATTCCAATTTTATTTGGTTTGGATTTGATCGGTTTTCGATTTTTCAAAAATTCTAAAATTTCAGTTATACAAATCACTAGCTATATCAAAATAAAGTCATTTAAAGTTACAAACCACTGAAAAATTCAAGTCTTCAAACTAAAATAAGTCTTAAAACTTATGAAGAGTTAATATAGATTAATAGACAATAAAAAACTATAACAAGATAGTTTGTTATCAATAACATCCCAGAATCCAAGTCTACAAAATAACAAGATTTCAAGTCACCATATTTCGAAAATAATAAATTCATAATACGTTGGATCGGTTTGGATTTGATCGGTTTTCACCAACCAAATTTAAAACTGATCCAATCAAATTAAAATATGTGGTTCTTTTTTGGTTTTTGATTTTTCAGTTTTCAATTAATTCAATTATCATTTTTTCGATTCAGTCACCACAGTTTGTATCGATTTGAATCGGTTGACGAATACCCCTGAACCAAAGATCAACGGGAGTCACCAATAGTGGATCTTATGTGAATGTTGAGAATCGAGGGATCCATTTTCGACAGTTGACGAATACCCCTGAACCATTTTCGACGGAATTTTTCCATAAAAAAATTACATTTTTTAGTAGTGGGATGTATTGGGCAAGGTGTGTATATTTATATTATAGCAGAGTACCAACAAGGTGAGGTGGTGTGCAAAAGGTGTCTCTAATGGGAGAAGGATATATATAGGTGAAAATGATTCTCCAATCATGAGAGAGATCCATTTTGCCCTTGTGAGTTCCATGAATGTGAGACAAATACCTTCACCCGGTGTATAAAGTGCCTCTGTGTGAGGATTGGGATCCTATGTGGTGATGTAATATATTTCTCACTTTAGATGCAGGAATATAACCCCTTATATGACCTTAGTGGCCGGTCCAATAAACAGGGCCTATGTGCCCATTCCAAAACACATATTTTATAAGAATATTATTCTGCCATTTTTTATTATTTTGTTGAGATAAAAACATTACACATTAAAGCTGTTACTTCATGAAAGAACAACACATGTAGCTGTCTTTTAATTAATTTTAAGGAATTTTCTAGAAGATTTGTTTCCATGTATAGGGATCCAGTCTTAACTATTTTTCTTTATCCTTCTCGTTTTCGATATAATCAAATATTTTGGTCAATACATATTTCATAAAAAAAATTATGGAAATAATTAAATGAGTTCATATTAACATCTGAGGCATATAAAAAAAAGAAGAATTTGTGATCATTTAAAAAAGTCACATTATATATATATATATATAGGACAATTTATATTTACAAACTTTTTGTTTACAAATTCTTACAAACTATACCATGTCTAACTATTCATACACTAATCAAGAGTGTATGACCGGTCATACTTAGTGTAATTTGTATTCTTAAAAACTACACTATGTCTGACTATTCATACACTAATCAAGAGTGTATGACCGGTCATACTTAGTGTAATTTGTAAAAAATTTATATATATATATATATATATATATATATATATATATATATATATATATATATGAAAAAATATTTGTCCTTTTAAAAGATATAACTTTGTGTCATTTTAGATATTAACCGTTAATTTTCGTTCATCAATGGTTAGAATTTATTGCGAATTACTAATTTATTATATAATTAGATTTGGTAAATTATAACCGTTGATTAACGAAAATCAACGGCTAGAATCTAAAATGATACAAATTAATATCTATTTTTCTCATAAATATATATATATATATATATATATATATATATATATATATATATAAACTTTTAATCTTGCATTTTTGTGAACAATTAATTTTAAGAAAATTTAATATTAACTATTTATGTATAGATGCTTCTAGATTCTCACTTTATATATAATACACTCTCACAAAATATGTTCATCTCGTTCTCTCTCTCTCTCGTCCCCTCTCACCCTTCCTGTTTGAGGGATATAGTCCTCTCCCAGCAATCTATAATACGCCAAAACCTTGAAAAGCACAACACCGTTTTCGGTTCTCTTACACACCCAAAAGCAATGCCGATAGATAAAAATATAAATGTTCTAATGGTGTCAATGGCCTTACAAGGTCACATCAACCCCATGTTAAAGTTTGCCAAGCTCCTTATTTCAAAGGGTGTTCATGTTACTATCGCCACAACTGAAGAAGGTCGTCACCGCATGCTCAAGCACAATGCCTCCATTAACACAAACCCAAATTCCCATAACTCAGAAATCCAACTTGAGTTCTTTTCTGATGGCCTTAGCCTTGATTTTGATCGTTCCGATACCGAAACATTAGTCAAAACTATTCGAGAAAAAGGTTCCAAAAACCTCTCGAGTCTCATCACCAACCTCACCAAAGTTCACAATTATTCTTGTGTGATTGTCAATCCCTTTGTGCCTTGGGCTATAGATGTAGTTGCTGACCATGGCATCCCTTGTGCACTGCTTTGGATCCAAGCTTGTGCTGTTTATTCAATTTACTATCGTTACTTCAAGAATACAAATCCGTTTCCCAATTTTGAGGACCCCAATGAGAAAGTGCAGTTACCTGGATTGCCAGTGTTAGAGGTTAGAGACCTTCCTTCTTTTGTGCTTCCTTCTAGCCCTTATCACTTCAAGGAAGTTATGGTGCATTTATACCATTCTTTGGATAAGGTGAAATGGATTTTAGGTGCTTCATTTTTCGAGATTGAAGAAGAGATAGTGAAGTCCATGGCTTCGCTAGCTCCAATTTACCCTATTGGACCACTTGTGTCACCGTTTTTGTTGGGAGAAAAGGAAAACAGTGATGTAAGTGTGGATATGTGGAATGCTGAAGATTCCTGCATAGGGTGGCTTGACGATAAGCCATCATCCTCTGTTATCTATGTATCATTTGGTAGCTTGATTGTGTTGTCCCAAAAGCAGATTGATAACATAGCTATGGCTTTGAAGAATAGCAACAAAGCATTTTTGTGGGTGGTTAAGCCACGTGATGGAGGGTCTAATAACAAGGAAGATGTTGCTGAATTGCCACTTGAATTCTTTGAAGAAACCAAAGGCAGGGGTTTGGTGGTTAAATGGTGCCAACAGGAGAAGGTGCTAATGCACCCTGCTGTGGCTTGCTTTATTAGTCATTGTGGGTGGAACTCAACGCTTGAGACAGTGGTTACTGGTGTGCCTGTTATTGCTTGTCCTTTTTGGACAGATCAACCAACGAATGCTATGCTTATAGCCAATGTGTTTCAGAATGGTGTGAAAATGAATTGTGGGGAAGATGGGATTGCCAACGCGGAAGAGATTGAGAGGTGCATTAGGGACGTCATGGAGGGGCCAAGTGCTGCAGAGATGAAGAATAGGGCTATGAAAATGAAAGAGTCGGCAAGAAAAGCGTTACAAGAAGGTGGTACTTCTAATAAGAATATCAATAAATTTATCAGTGACATGATTGTTGGGAATGCAGCTAATGCTTAAATTTTTATATTATATATATGTATATTGGTTATTTTATAGGCGTTAAATAATGGTCTTTTAGAACTTAGAAGTATTTGTCGCAGCAATGAAATAGTTCCTATATTGCTAGTTTGTTGTTTTTGCATGGTTCAATGTTGATGCCTGATGTTATAATTTGGAAGTAGTCGTGCTTCCCAATCTTATTTTGATGTTTGGCTACATAGGCAATTACTATGCATTTCTTCATCTTCTTCTTTTTAATTGTTTGCTTTGAATTTGTTTTTATGTACATTGATAATAAAAAATAAAATCATTTTTAGAACGTTAGCCTACTTTTCAGAACATTAAAAAAAAGTAATAAAAATCAGTCCACCGGCTAACTAGCTGTACAGTGTACAGCTTACAAACAACCCATATATTTTGATCGTAGCACTAGCAGTGGTACCGGAGCGGATTATTTCTAATATTGGGGCATAGAGTTATTAACCAAATACCTCCCCTACTTATTCACAATAAACCAAAGCATTTAGTTTAAATCTATGGCCGTACCACCTATTCGCTCAGGTTATTTTTATATCAGTATAAGAATAAAAAAATTTACATTAAATTTAAGTTATTGATATACTTCCATATAATAATTCATATATTTAATAAATCAAAATTATTAAATAAATATAATTAACTATTAAGATTGAAAATATAATTTACGTCGGTATAAAATAATTTGACTTATTAATATTTAACGATGAAAATTTTGATTTTTGAATCCTTAAATTAAAAAGACATGTTTCATTTTTGTGATAAATGGTGTAACTGTCCCAATGGATAATACTACTCTGTCTGCAGCAGAGCGCAAAACACGCAAAAGCTGTATTAGTGTCTAGCTGGCTTTGACATATACTATCTTCATAACAGGGTTAATAATGCTGACACTGCATAAACGGCAGGGGATGATTTTGAGGAGGAATTTAGGGGAATAGTAAAGTGTGCTTCCGTTACCCGCCACTTACCCGTATCATGACGGAATAGTAATAAATATTTTTTTTTTTAAAAAATACAGTCATTATCAAATTTTATTTAAATTGAACAAATATTAGAAAAAATATTTTATTTAGGAAAAAAATCTGACACGCAAAAATTAAATTAAGTATTATGCATAGGTAAGAATAGAGAATTAACCTCACAACACTCTTGATCCTTAGCGGATTGTGTAAATTTATAATATTCTTGCAATTTTTTTTTTTTTACCTTTTTTAGTAAATATAAGAGAATATTCATGAAATCAAATATTTATAACGAAGAGCATTTAAAAAAAGTAAATAAATCTACCATTATAGATTCAAGATAGAATAGTTATATAATAAATTCATATTATTCAATGATTTATATAACACTTTAGAATGTTAAATTATCGACTTGTAGATCGTTGCAAAAACTAAAAATGCTATGTACAATTTATAGATTTCACGATTCACGATTCACGAATTGAAAAGGTGAATTGATGGCTTTTTTTACTTATATGATGCAATTACAGTGCACAAACATGTTTTAGGGTCAGGCATGCGTGCCACGTGGTGGATGTCCATCTGTGGCCGCGGTTCGTCCTTGGATATCCCTTCAGACCTTGGATATTTTGTGTTGAGCATATTCTCCGTATGTCTTGTTGGGCTTGGACCCTCACCAGGATCCAAGATAGTTTCAAAAGACCTTGGCACGTTAGTGAAGGTGGTCCAAGGGGAGTAAGGATATGCAAAAAAAATTGATTCACTTGTTTTGTTTTTTATCTGACCTTGATCTGACTCATAAATATCTATTTTTTTGAATTGGATTTAATTACTGATCCACTTTTATTTAGGTCAGTTTTAAACCTGACTTATTTTAGTAATTGATCAATTGACCCAAAACTTGACCCATACCCATTATATGCAAAAAAAAAAAAAAACAAAAAACAAAAATCAGCCACTTTTATTCATTGACATTATACATAAATTATTTGCTTCTGCATAGGCTGTATCACCTTCTTAACTAGTATATGTATTACTTAGTATGAACTTTTTAATCTTTTGTAATTACTTATTGTCAGATTAGTCAACACTCTTTTTTTATAAAGATTAACCCTTTTCTCGTGTTCTATCTACTTTTCAATAAAGAAATAGGTACTTATACTAGGCATACGCATTTTGATACTTGTGCGTACTAGATATAAGCTGAAAGTTTAGTATATGAACCAAAATCTTTGGGTACGACATGAAATATTCTTTTTTTTTTTCTAGTTTATCATCAATTTGGAGCTTTTTGGTGATCCAATAAAATCATGATAATTGCTGATTGAAAATATAGATTATGAGTAGGGGTGTAAATGGGCCAGGCTGACCTGACCTAGTCTACAGCCCGGCCTACGTTGAAAAGTAGAGTAGACTTAGGCTTATAAGAAAGTCTTTTTAACAAATAGGCCATAGGCCAATTATGTCAAGCCTAGCCTAAAGCTTTGTAGGCTGGCCTATTTAATTTTTTAAGATAAAATAAAATAAATATTTATTTTAGGGTATGATATACATTATAGAGCTGAGGTATTATGTTGACTCTTTCTTGTTTGTCATTTTTTATGAATTATGAGAAGTACTAGTGCATACATGAATTGAACTTTGCTCAGTATATTTTTATAGTGATTTTTTTTACTATTGTAAAAAATTTAATGCTCACTAGTGAAATTTATATCTCGTGTAAAAAAATGCAGCAATTTATGAGCACATTAATGACTTGTGATGTCAAGCGAATATTTTAAAAATTGTTAAAAATATTTTTAAAAATATTTCACTAGGGAGGCCTACAAGGCCTGTAGGCCATATAAGACTCTCTAATTTTTAAAAATAGGTCAGGCTTGGCCTATAAATAAAGCCTTTAGTAGGCCAATAGGCCAGATAGGCTGAATATTTTTTTATGTAAGCTTAAGTCAGAAGGTCAAAGCCCAGTCCAGCCCATTTACACCCCTAATTATGAGTTAGAATGAGCTACCCATTACACTGATTAGTACCATGGAATAGTAATATTAACACTTTTTTTGAAGAATTGGTATTTATTCAGCAAATATCAAATTTTTTATATAATTTATATATTTTAAAACAAATAAATAATTAAATTACATGAGTTTAAAAATTAAATCAAAAACTATAAAAAAATGAAATAAAAAACAAGTTTTGAAACTAAGTCTAAAGCGGACCAGGTCGGATTTGACCTGATTTTAAAACCAAGTCAGTCCCACTTCAAAAACTAAGTCAGGTCAGATCTGACCCAGTTCTAAACCAGTTCAAAAATAATTTAAATCGGGTCAGACCTGACTTGGATCAAATTAAACTGAGTCGGGTCAAAATACCTGACCTATAAAATCAAGTTGGGTCGAGTCGACACAAAAACCCGTCCTGACCCATGCACAGCGCTAAAGGGGATTAGTGATCAAAGTGCCTTTGGCAAATTTTTTATCTAAATATCATGCGAATAATATTTTTTATCAGACTGTCATGCGACGTAATTTACTACGACTGATAACAAATTTTGTTCGCCTATGATTTCGTGACACATGGCACGTCTTTGCAGAAAAAAGATGATTGGACAAAGTTCGCTACTAGTGGTAACCAATTTGGTATGCAATGTGGCCACATGTCACAAAATCATTGACGAACGTAATTCGCTACCAGTCCTAGCAAATTACGTTGCGTAGCAGTCTGATAAAAAGTATTGTTCGTGTGACATTTAGATAAAAAATTTGCCAAAAAAATTGCACTTTGGTCGATGTTCCGGTATAAGGTAAGGCTTGGCTCAATATAAATAAAATAACTTACAAAAAATTTTAAAATAAAAAATCACATCTCTGCAAAATATAATGCAACAAAACGTTGTTTTATGATTGAACTGAAATATATATAAACATAAAGTAAAATTACAATACTACTATTTTTTAATTATTATTAATTTTGTAACTGTAGTTTTAATTTTTTAATTAATTTAAAACTAAAACGTTATTTTATTATCATGAATAATGTCGTAAGTTATATATATTACATAATAATAAAGTGTGAAATTAGACGAGCATCTCACTGCTTGGTACGAGGGACCATATAGCAGAAATGTACTCAATTCGGAACACAATTACCTTTGACATAATATGCTATTCAAATAGGTATAAGCTTCTTTTCTTTTCATACATGGTAGCTTTCTATCATTTCTAGTAGAAGCTTCTGCCGTAGGCAAGAAGTATCGTTGATGAATTCCAATTCTAAAATGATTGAAAAGCATGTTGATGTTGAGAAACATAAGCTAAAAAAGATATTCAGATTATTGGAATTGAGAAATGTAAGAAGCTAAAAAAGATTAGGCAAAAATTATGACTGCAGCTGCTTTGTGACCTCAACGACGATATTGTTATGATCTAATGTCCTCCTAAATTTCATTATCCTCGCAACTGCTGCATTAATCTGTGGCTTTCTGTATCAATCAATTAAGTTAAGGCTGAAGGAAGAAAGAAGTATGTGATTGAATTGATGTAGATAAAGAAGGGGAAGCATACTTGAGGCTGAGGTGAATGTATGAATTGCACAATACCTTCGAACTTTGATACCTCACTCAACGGAAGATTTGTAATCTCCTAGGGCCAAACAAAACTGCCACTTTGTGAATAATATATATATGAGTTAATGTTGGAATTTGTATAGACAATCTATTGGTTATGAATAAGAAGTGGGTTAAGGAAAAAAAGAAAAGAGGGAAGTTGAAGGGGTGTGTGGGTTTTAACAAGTCCCACATTGGACAACTAGCAAGAGGTGAGAGAGTTTATAAGCTCTCACCTCACACTCCTAAATTGCCCCTTGGGGCACTACACTTTTGTGGTGAGGAGAGGAGCTAGGTGGCCTTTAGTCCACCACACGTGCGCCGTCCGGCTAGCTTGGTTTGGTTTTTACTTTTTTGGTAAAAAATACCCCTGTCTCTATTCATTGCTTCCCTCCAGATTCTTCAAACCCAAATGTTTCTTCCTGCAAACGTTTTGAACCGAACCGGTTCTTACCTTTCGCGAACCTGTCACTGGTCGTACCCGTTCGCGGCCGTCAGTCACGGCGATTCGCCGGCGGCGGGTTCATCATGACCAGTCAGTATCTATAAATAGCCATGACCTTTTTTCCTTCATCCGGTTTGCATGCTTCCTTCTGCTTTCTGGTGTGCTTTCCTCTGGCATATTGTTGTGTTCGTTTGGGCTGTTGACTGGTAGTGCCATCACTCTTCAGACGAAATCCGTTCTATCGTGGGAGACAAGTGTCCATCAACTTTTGGCATAAGTGAGGGAAAAATTGTCTTAAGGAGACACATTCTGTGTGCTCGGATTTATTCATCATTCTGCATACTTGATCTTACGGTCTCATTATCTGACATCTTGTAAATCTGTTCTAATTTCCTTATTGCACTGTGTTTGATAATTCTGATTATTAATCTCTTCTGTTCTATACATGGGTTCAAACCTCTTAGTGATTTAATATCACCTATTGTCTTCTAAATAACAGTTACGACCATAAATTATTAGAAATCAAATAACATGCATCAATAAGCTTAGTGATTTGTGTAATCTTCTAATTCTAAACATACCCACAACCCATAAATAAAGTTTTAAAAAATGCATAGCCCCATACTTTGAGATAAGTAATCAGGCTTTGGGGGTATAGGATTGTAGAGGAGAAGGCTAGGGGTTTGTCACGTTGCAGGGATGAAATGAGAAAAATTACATTAAATTTTCGCTATCTTATCCTACCACTTTATAACCCAAGTCTCCCTTGAGATAAGTATTCAGGCTTTGGATATGATAAAATTAGCCAACCTGATAATTTTATTCTATCCTACAAGCTCACCAAACAACTATTCATAACAGGATAAGATAAATTATTCTATCTTATCTTCTTTATCAGGTACTCCAAACAAGACCTTAAGAGATATCAACAGGATAAACTACAGAATGTGCCTAGATAATTCTTTCATCAATTTCAGAACTGTTAATGGAAACAAAAGAAGATGGGCAATTTATGGATCTAATCCTTTCATGTGCTACAATGAATCTCAGTTTTATTCTTATGCTTCTACTCTCCAAGTGGTGCTGTTAGGAGGCCCTCTTCTTACCGAAGATTAACAACGAGCATAATTGGTTTCCTACTTCCCTTTTAGTGTGTTTACCTACTGCAAAACTATAAATGATCAAAGAATAGTGATTAAATGCTAGAAATGTATAAACTCTTACAACAATTCTAGCTGTTTGGTAAGATTCTAAAATTAATTTTTATTTTTAATCTCTTTTCTATGTTCTCTTCTTGATAGAAGCAATTACAATAGGTCAAGAATGAATAGACAAATTTCTTTTCTTTAAGGAGCGTTTGGTTGAGGAATTTTTTTTGGAATAGTAGGGAAATGTAATAGATAGAGAAATAATTGGAAAGATAGATAAAGTGAGATAGGTAGAAAAATGTAAAAAAAAGTTGTTTGGTGGGGAAAAACTATACTGGAAAAATTAGGTAACTTTATGAAATCAACAGTGCATTAAAAGCCAGATAACCGATTTTTCGAAAAATCCCTCCTTCAAATTGAGTTTCTAAACAGTGCGGATATCTATGTTTCTCATAAATTCAGACAAATTGGATAGATGGTTTTTGGTGAGAAACGTTGAAACAAACATGGTGTTTCTAAAAGCCATACTTGAAAAACATAGATATCCGCTGAAAAGCTCCCAACCAAACACCACCTTATAGTATCCAGATGATGTAACTGCTCACGTTTAACAAATATGACTACCTCCTGAATAGATGTTAAAATAATGTGTATTATTTTGACATGATATTATTTAGTTGTGTACATTAAATTTTACTCATTAAAAAAAATCAAAAAAGAATCAATACTTATATTAGTAACATACTTCTTATAAAAAAGAAAAACTTGACTAGATAACATACTTCTTATAAAAACATTTCTTTAGTAATATCATACGGTAGAAATTTCCAGCAACGTGAAATAATGACTTGTTCGTAATTATAACTGCATAAACCAAATCTGGCTCTGACGTCAGCCATGAGCTTATTTTTTTGGATATGACATCAGCCATGAGCTAAATTGGCCAGATTATGTCATATTATATAAGGAAAAAGCGTGTATGATTTTAAAAGATGTAAAATTGTGTTATTTTAAGAAATCGAAAGAGATAAACAAAGAAAGAAAGAGAGTTGATGAAAAAAATAAGGTGTGGGTCGTCCACCTCTCTTTTGTTAGAGTGAAAATGATATAAGTTGTGTCATTCAAAAGGATAAACATTTTTTCTATTATATAATAATGAGCTTATATGCTCCTTCCTTCATCCATCAATTAACATTGCCATCCGCCTCTCGCAAATTCCTTGCGTCGGAGTGATCTTATTTCGAGCATAAAAGCAATAGTTTCTTCTTTAACAATGTCACCATCAGAAAAAGAAGTTCATGTCCTAATGGTGTCAGCGGCCTTTCAGGGCCACTTGAATCCAACATTCAACTTCGCAAAACGCCTTGCATCAATGGGTGTTCATGTTACTCTCACGTTGACAGAAGAGGCACGACATAACTTCAATGTCTCCACCAAAGCAAACGAAAATTCCCATAACGGAAACATCCAACTGGAGTTCTTCTCTGATGGCCTTAACCTTAACTTCGATCGCAACAAGGACACTGCCACCTTTCTTGCTTCCATAGAAACCACCGGAGCCAAAAACCTTTCCAACCTTATCTCCCACTTAAGCAAAGACCGAAACTACTCTTGTATGATTATAACTCCCTACGTGCCATGGGCTGCAGAAATAGCAGCCACACATGGCATCCCTTGTGCCATGCTTTGGTTCCAAGCTTGTGCACTCTATTCCATTTATTGTCGCTATGTATGCAAAACAAATCATTTTCCCAATGTTGAGAACCCCAATGAGACTCTAGAATTGCCTGCACTGCCACCATTAGAGGTTAGAGAACTTCCAAGTTTTTTACTTCCCTCGTGCCCTCCCTACTACAAGAAACTGGTTTGGGATTTTCATCGAGTCTTGGATAAAATAAAATGGTTTTTGGGATCTTCCGTTTACGAGTTTGAAGAAGAGATAGTGAAGTCAATGGCTTCATTGTTTCCGATTTTGACTATTGGACCACTTGTGTCACCGTTTCTGTTGGGAGAAAAAGAAGGTGAAGGCGATGGTCTAAGTGCGAATTTATTGAAACCCGAATATTCTTGCCTAGAGTGGCTCGACAATAAGCCACCTAATTCGGTTATCTACGTGGCATTTGGTAGCTTAACGGAGCTGTCACAGAAGCAGATAGGTAACATAGCCACGGCTTTGAAAAATACGAATAGAGCGTTTCTATTGGTGATTAGGAAAAAAGATGCTGAATTTCCAAGAGGATTTTTGGAAGAAACCAAAGGGAGGGGACTAGTTGTGACATGGTGCCCACAAGAGAAGGTGTTAATGCACCCTGCTGTGGCTTGCTTTGTGAGTCATTGTGGGTGGAACTCAACACTTGAAGCAGTGACTGCTGGTGTGCCTGTGATTGCTCATCCAGGTTGGTCTGATCAGCCAGTAAACGCAAGGCTCGTGCAAGATGTTTTCAAAACTGGCGTGAAGATGAGGTTTGGGGAAGATGGAATTGTCAGCACAGAAGAGGTGCAAAAGTGTATTAAAGAAGTCATGGAGGGCCCGAAGGCTGAGGAGTTTAAGAAGAGAGCGATGGAGTTGAAAGTGGCAGCTAGGAAAGCATTGCAAAATGGTGGATCTTCTGAGAGGAATATCAATCAGTTCCTCACTGAAATTGCTAGGAATTCCACTTAGAATCAAACTTTGATTTTGTATCACTATATCGTAGGAAGTTTTTATTTGTTTGATGTATTTAATATTGGGTTAGTTTTTTAGATAACTTTTTTACGTTGAGCTCAAAACGTCGTTGTTTTGAGACAGAAATCAAAGTATTTTTATAATTATAATTTATTTTAGAGTTATAATAGTTTTTTTCATTATAATTTTTTAATTTTTCAACCCAAAACGACTTTGTTTGGAAAGCGAATGTAAATAACTTATCTACAATTACTTTAAAAACATTAAAACCTTTAATATTTTTCTATTTTCTCTTTACGTGTGCAAAATAAAATAAATAACTCTCTTACCTTGCCATATATAATTGGTTTAAGTTGAAAATGTGTCCCTCGGTCTTATTGACAATTGTTTTTTTAAAAGTAGATATACATATATGAAATGACTATGGCTTTACTCTCTCTCTTTTATAATTTAAAAGCTATTTTAAAAATAAAAAATAAAAAATAAGAGCTTAAAAATTTGACGTTATATATATGTTAAACCCACTTCAGTATTCTTGGCATGTAGCATTGGGCTAGATTTAGGGTCCGGCCCAAAATAAATGCAATACACAGCCAAATTGTACCACCTACCTTTGTCTCCAACTCTTCCCATTTTTCATCTTTTATATAGTCGAGTTTCTTTACGTTCCCATTGAATGCGTGGTTAGGCAGTGCCGCATTAGAATATCCTTACATATACTCAACGCCAGGCTAAATATTTTCTTGTGATGCGTAAAATCAGCAAGTGCACCGATCGTACCAAGTAATAAAGAGTGAGTAGAGTATCGTCTCCACGAGGATTGAGGCAACTAAGTTGTTATAACTATTCCTCTATTGTTGGATTAATCAAAATAGGTTGAGAATGATTGTAGTTCATGAAACAAACTAAAATAATTAAAATAAAAATGTAAATGATTCCAAAAGTGTTTTCAGAATGCAAGAATAAAAGATTAAGGATTGAGAAAATATTTGAGAAAATATTGCGGTAAAGAGAAACAAACACATTTCCGATCCCCACTTTGCAACTTGGATTACGTTTACATTTACCTATTCAATTGATCGAACAATTCATCATCTTTTATATGAGTAGTTAAGCCCTAATCCCTTAGTGACTTTAACCTTGTTAACTCTATTAGAATCCTAATCCCTTAGAAATCCCTTTTCGAGTTAACCCTTAGAATCAAGGAACCTTTAACGTTCGCTGTTCATGTAGCCTATCCCTAGTGCGTACATGAACAATTATCTTATTTTTTGTCAGGAATTAGAATTCCAACATCCCTGTTGTAAACCCTAACCCTCGCAACCCTACTAGATTGATCAGTTCCAATAGAATTATAGAATGAAGAACAAGAAAAGATAAATGCAATTAAAATAGATAAACATAAATTTCAACCAAGGTACAACGGGTTCACTTCAAGGGTTGTAAACCTTACCACAATGATGAAACTAGCCAGACATGTTCATGTCTGACAAAATAACAATAAAATAAAGTAGCATTTAAAACCTAGAAGAGAAAGGGAAAATGAAGATCTTCCGTCTTGATCGATCGAATCCTTGAATCTCCGAGAAGCTCCAAGGAATCTCTGCTCTCTTTGTTGTTTTTCTCCTCTTGATTCTCCCAAAAGTCCCTTCCTCTTATGTTTCTGATCCTTTTATTAGGTTTTGGGAAAACCTCTTTCACTTTGCACTCCAATTGGGCCTTATTTTAGCTGATTCACACTTAAAAATATATCGCCCGCGCACGGGGCGCCAAGCCTGGCGCCCCAAACTTGGGAGAAACAGAAGCTGAATCTGTCAACGGCGCCCCGGGCGCCAACTCTGGAGTGCCGTGCGCCAGTCCCGCGCTCCGTGCGCCAACTCTCGAGCACCGAGCGCCCGGTTGGCGCGCCGTGCGCCACCTCCCGCTCGCCGTGCGCGGCCGAAACAGAAGCAAATCGTCGATTTGGTGCCCCGTGCGCCAGGTACCGCGCCCTGTGCGCCAGTTTGGCGCTCCGTGCGCCAACCTCCGCGCGTCGTGCGCCAGCGGGAAATTTGGTTTCTCCGTTTTTTCTCCTTTTTGCGGCGTTTCGTGCTATTTAACATATAACTTGAGTGAGAGCATGATTGAGAAGGAATAATCAATATTTCTTGCATTTAATGACTATTTTCACACATTTATGATTAATTCCTTGCTTCTTTTAAGTTAGAAAACATCATCTACTAGACTCACATCAAACAATTCCCAGATTTAGATGTTGCTGTCCTCAGCAATAAATTGAATTTAAGCATGGGAAGCAAGGTTCAATTAATCAGGCATAGCATTGCACAGACAATCATAGAGATTACTATACTAAGCATGAATGATTTCCAAGTCAAACTTAAGATGATGCTTAACACTCCATTCAAACGTCAGAGTCTAACTTGATTACCCCTCACAAGACATGATATTCACTCATCACTTAGTGTTTGGGGTCATTCATCATCACTCATTTCATCACAGCTGTTGTTCTACCATAAGCTTGATCTTTTTCTCAAGTTCCTAAAGATGAGGAACATCAACACACGCCTGATTGATCAAAAGGGCTTCTTAAGGTTATAACTAGGCTTGGCTTAAGGTTAGAATCTTTTGGAAAGTAGCTGAATAATTATTGAGATTGAAACATCATTTTCATTAATACTCAATCATCTCTCAATTCAAGTTTCAGCACCACTTTTTATTCGAATTCATGATTCCTTCCTTTTTCTCACTTTTTCCTTCATCATTGCTTGTCAATTTTTGCAATTTATTTTTCTTTCTCTTTATATTCATGTGAGAACTATTCTTTTCTTTTCCTTTTCAACTGCTTAACTTCTAGTGGAGCTTACCTCAATTACTTCTAACTTTTTGTTTATTGACATTTCAATCTCAATCATGGTAAGTTCTGATGGAAGTGGTCTAAACAGTTTAATAAGGTAATTAAAAAAAATTGGTCTCAGGCTCAACATGGCTAACAATGGATGATTTCTCAGGTAGCTATTTGGCCATAAGCTTAATAGAACAAAATGCCTCTATCACTTCAATCAACACATGCATTGGAGAGAATTAGATCAAGTTCTAGAGTACCACTGCAGTGAGGACTCTCAAAAAAAAAAATTAACTGTATAGGCACAAACCTCACAAGCTGTGGTATCAAACTAGACTCTTCTTAATTTCATTTCAAGCATCATTATCATAGAAATCAAACAAACGGGCAATCATAATCTCTATTCATGCTCTATGCAATGTCATGACAATCTTGCATATCATGCAATGCTTCCTCATATTCAACCAAGGAATTGAATGAGTAGCACATCTAAATCAGGACTGTGCTTTCACATAGCAGGAAATGAAACTAAAAACACAAAATTTCTACCAAAATGAAAAAATAAAAATGAAAATAACTAGAAAGGTTAAAATAACTCCCCTGAAGTAGCTATGAATCCGCTGAACCTTTTTCTGTGTGTGATACCTCGATTGCCGTGTATGCGGCCCCAATTCCCAGATTTAGAATATTGCTGTCCTCAGCAATAACTAAAGTAGTCGGAGAAAATACTGTTGCACAAGTATAAACATCACACATGTGAAATATCAGGCAGAAAATAACATAACCAATGTACTGGAGAATTATAACTCAAAATACCAAAGAGGTTCAAATTACCCTAACATAAACCTAGATGGTCAAACAAAGACAACGAAAATAAAACATCAAAATAAAAATTAATGTGACAGATAAGGGGAAGGAAATAAAAAAAAATAATAATAAAAACTCATTGGGTTGCCTCCCAAGTAGCACTTGTTTAACGTCACGAGCCTGACGTACCCCTTGTGATCATGGTGGCTGGTAACTCGGGCTCAGTGATGACACTATACCCTTGCTCAGAATTTGTGTCCCGCCATGGTTATACTCATATGCATGTGGATAAGGATGAGGGTTCTCAGAAACTTTAAACTTAGTCCTCACATGCTTTTCCTTACCCTTGGCTTTTCCATCTTAACCTTTGGCTTGCTTCCTTCATGCCACTGATGAATTTCCTTCTTATTCCTTTCCTCAACCTTTTTCTCCGCAATGTAATTGACTTGATTCTTAGGTTGAGGAGCAAGCAATGGAGGAGCTTCATTTATAAGTACTTTGAATATTGCTTGCTCTCCATCCACGCGCATTATCAACCCACCCTTAGGTACATCGATTAATGCTCCTGAGGTTGCTAAGAATGGCCTCCCGAAGATCATAGGCACACTGGCATCTTCATCAATGTCAAGGATAACAAAATCAGCAGGAATTAGAAATTTGTCTACCTTGACTAGCACATCTTCCACAATACCATGTGCTTGCTTTGTTGAGCGGTCGGCCAGTTGAACATTCATCCTAGTTGGCTTGACTTCATCAATTCCCAGCTTCTTCATCAGGGTTAGTGGCATCACATTAACGTTGGCACCAAGATCACATAAGACTCTCTCTATAGTTGTCTTGCCAATGATGCATGGAATACTGAAGCTTCCTGGATCCTTCAACTTTGGAGGCATGTTTTTCTGTAGGATTACACTGCACTCCTCTGTTAATGTGACAGGTTCATTCTCTGTGAGCTTCCTCTTCTTAGATAATGTTTCCTTCAAGAATTTGGCATATGAGGGCATTTGCTCCAGAGTGTCTGCAAAAGGAATATTAATCTGCAATTTCTTAAAAATATCTAAAAATTTAGACAATTGCTTCCTTTGCTCATTTTGCTTTGGCCTCATTGGATATGGGAGTTTCTCAAAACGTGAGAAATCTCATTGCTTCTTTTGAACTGCAGGAGGTTGTTCCTTTGCTTCTTCTTCATCCTTTTGAGCTTGTTCATCCTTTCTTGTAGAAACTTCAACTTTCTCTTTTTCTAGCTCCTCATTCCTTGTAGTGATGACATTGCATTGCTCCTTTGACACTGCAACGCTCTTTTCTTGACTCCTCTCAGCTAGTTGTCTTGAAAGTTGGCCAATTTGAG